AAGATACAAAACTGTGCATTAAAGCCATTCTTCAACCAGTGAACAGAATTGAGTAAACAATAATTCCTGATGAACAGAATTTTTTTTTGTTCAAAATGTGACAGGAGCATGGATTTAAACATGTTTTTATCTCAGCATGTCAAAAGTAGAAATTACACTGGGTAGATTAGGGAATTATTCCAATAAAAAGTTCACTGCTTTGCAAAATAACAATAACCAGCTGACCACGAACCAGTTCCTCACCTGCTTTCAGTTTTGTTTGTGAAGCTGCAGCGTTGTGACCTCTGATCCAGTAAAAATCTAAAGGTGTGGTTGATTAAAAACAATTGTATTAATGGTTTTTCTGATTATAATCAGTCACTTGAGTTTTTCATGAAGCTGTACATGTTTGTTTGATGCTTTTAAATTAGTTAATAACAATGTATTGCCAAGAGACCAAACTCATACTGGACACTGGACAATGAAACATTTAAAGCTCAAGTCTATATGGAAGCTTAGATTGTCACTTTTTACATCATAAGACTTCTGGAAGATCATCTGGGTCTGAACAGGATGAGTCAGTCACTAGAATAAGCAAAGATTTACAGTCAATGTGCTGATGAAGACAACAATCATCTCATGGGTGACATGTTTAGGGAGACAACTCCTACTGCTATTGACTAACTGCCACAGTGTTTAAAGCCACTCCTTAGCCTTGAATACTATCATCTTCACTGTGTAACACCAGTGATAAATGCGACCTTATAGTAATTACAACGATAATCCTCAAATGTTTGTAATGTTCTACAAAATAAGTGGTTGGCTCATATAAAACTTTTTCAACAACAGCGTCACTGTTTGAACTTATTTGGATATTTCGGTGTAATTTTTTTTAAACCTAAAATCAAAATGTAACTGTGAAGGAGGGTTTGGTTAAAGCTAGCTCTTTCCAGGTGAGGCGGCTATCAATATGGTGTATCAGTTAGAATACAGGAAGAGGCTAAGATGCGTCCTTTGTAGATCCCAATCTTTAATCTTGGTTGATGATCATCGTTAACAGCATTGACAACAGTCTGAAACAGTAAACATAAATAAATTAGCATGATAAGAAACAATTATGGTGACAGCAAGAAGACAACAAGGCTAACCAACTTTAAATGTTTATAAAAGAAAAGAAACATGTTGGACATAAACACTTCAGTAATTCAGTACTCAACTAATATTCCATAATTAAACAAAGGAACTTAATAATGCAGTCTTAGACATAAGGTAAAGTGACTCACTTTCTTGCGTTAGCATAATGCTGTCAACATCAACATGACTTGCAGGAGAACAAAGGAACATTGGTCTCACACCCACCAAAAAGGAAATTAAGGGAAAATCCTAGTTGGAAGTGAGCTCACTGTGAAAGCTCTTCAAAATAAAAGCATGCCACTTCCTGAATTCCCACCAAAATAAAACCAACAAATTTAACAAACAAGGGTAATATATGAAATTCTGAACCTTTTATACAGCCGCAACCCAAATGTGTTAACGCATTTGCTATAATAAACATGTTAGTCATTATTTTGGGGCCTGTTTGTTTGTTGGTTGGTCTTCTCCTAAAGGTAGCGATGGAAGAACTATCAATCTAGCAACCTGTCTGGTGTACACATATCCTTTGATGTCCACATCTGCAGACCTTATGCAGCTATCATCACTACGGTGGGTCTTAACGACATATCTAACAGGCCAAAAGGCTTGTGGTAACTGTGGGTCCACCAACATGACAACTGTCTCCTTCAGGAACTCAGGAGAAGAAGATTGCCATTTCAGTCTTGCCTGCAAGTTAGGAAGGTACTCATTGATGAACCTAACCCAGAACTGGTCGGCCAGGATCTGGGAGTGTCGCCAGCATCTACGGGTGAGGTTCTCAGACTCCGGGTAGACTACTTGAGGCAATGACCCATCAGGCTGCCCCATCAGGAGACTGGGTCTACATCGATGATATCTGTGGAAACATACCCTAATGGTTTAGAGTTTGGGATGGATTCCACCTCCAGATGGAAGGTGAGAAGGACTTATTCATGGATAGGTTGAGAGCTCACACAAACTCGCAGGCTGATTTCACAGAACGTATTTCTCTTTCCCACACACCGCCAAAGTGAGGGGATCCTGGGGGATTAAACTGTAATTTTATCTGTCGCTTAGCAAGGTGTTGCTGCAGGTCATCAGCCATGTTTGAGAAAGCCTCTTTTTCTCTTTCTCCTGCTCTGAAGTTGGTTCCTTGATCTAACCACAGTTCAGCAGGTGTTCCTCTTCTGGCAATGAACCTCCTCAGAGCCATGAGGAATGCATCAGTGTCTAGGCTACTCAGGAGCTCTAAATGCACAGCCCTCGTGGTCATACATTTAAAAATGATTCCCCATCTCTTCTCATGTCTTCTTCCTATCTTAACTTGCATCGGCCCAAAACAGTCCACTCCGGTTGAATAAAAGGCTGGTTTAAACAATCTCAGCCGAGCAGGAGGTAGATCTGACATCTTTGGGACAGATGGTTGTCCCCTCCAACGTTGACAGTCAGGGCATGTTCGCTGGTGTTTGCGGATTGCCTCTCTTCCTCTGAGAATCCAGAATGACCTCCTTAACTCTGCCAGGACTCGCTCTGGACCTGGATGATGTAGATCATGGTCATACCTTTGGATGAGTAACTGCGTAAAAGGGTGTAAGGCGTCTGGGACAATAGGATGTAGTGTAGAGCTATCCAGATCCTCTGAACGTCATAAACGGCCACCCGCTCTAATGAGGCCGGTTGACACGTCCAGTTCGGAAGCCAAAGTGAGTAAACGACTTCTGGAAAGAACAGGCTTCCCAGCTGCTGGGAGTCTGCATTCTTCCAGGAAAAGACTGTTGCTGAGCTTGCCGTAGAACTATGGTTTCAGCTTGTCGATACTCCTCAGCAGTTGGGGGAGTACTGGAAGGCGGTAGTCCGTGAAGATCACGTGCTGTTTCCTCCAAGAGTTCTTGCCAAGTTTTGTAAACGTTGTCTTCTGCACATGTAGGGGTCGATGAAGTATTCAATGTGCCACAGAAGACAGATTTCCGGAGCTCAGATTTGTCTTCATTTGGTGCAGGGCTGGGCTTTGCTGGCCACTGGTCAGAACCCTGAAGGAGGAATGAGGGTCCGTCGGACCACCGGTTTGGTTCTATAAGTTCTCTGATAGTCTTCCCTCTCGTTAGATCATCAGCTGGGTTACTTGCAGTGTTCACATAGCACCAGGTACAGTTCTCCATCAGTTTCTGGATTTCTGCAACTCTAGCCCCAACGAAGATCTTATAACGGCATGACTGGGAGTTCAACCAGATAAGAACGGTGGTAGAGTCTGACCATAGAACAGTTCGCTTAACCACCACTGTGAGCTCCTTATTCAGGACACTTGCAAGTTGGGCTGCCACCAAAGCTGCACAGAGCTCGAGCCATGGAATGGACAGGGGTTATTTGGGGGCTACTCTCGAACGAGCCATGATGAATGTAACTTGTACCCGTCCATGGGCACCCTCAGTCCTCATGTATGGTAGAGTCTGACCATAGAACAGTTCGCTTAACCACCACTGTGAGCTCCATATTCAGGACACTTGCAAGTTGGGCTGCCACCAAAGCTGCACAGAGCTCGAGCCGTGGAATGGACAGGGGTTATTTGGGGGCTACTCTCGAACGAGCCATGATGAATGTAACTTGTACCCGTCCATGGGCACCCTCAGTCCTCATGTACGCCACTGTGCTGCCTGCTCTGATTCATCTGCAAAAATATGCACCTCTTGGCTGACCTCTGCTGGATGGACATTGCACGGCACATAGGCGTGTGGGAACGTTACGTGGGATAAGAACTTAAGCTCTTCTTCCCATACAGTCCAAGCTTGAAGGAGTTTAGAAGGTAGGTTTGTATCATCCCAGCCATGTTGCTTATCCCACAACTGCCTGAGGACAAGTTTAGCTTGATTAGTGAAAGGCAACAGATAACCCAGAGGATCATACTGTGAAGCCAAGACTCTGTAAATATTTCTCAGGGTGGGCTTGTCGTAGGACACTGGCCTGTGTTTATAACCCAGTGAGTCTGACTTCCAATCCCAGCTAAGTTCAATTGTTGTTTCCATTGGACTGGATTTATCCTCTGCTAGCCACAAGTCCAAGCTTTCTGATCTAACTTCAGGAGGCAGGTGACTGAGAACTTCTGGATGATTGCAAGCCCACTGTCACAGTTCAAAACCTCCAGTTGCCAGGATGTTCCTAAACCTATCCACAAGAGACTTTGCTTCTTCGGATGAGCCAACACTCTGTAAGCAGTTGTCTACATGAAAACATTTCTCAATGGAATCACGTAGGTCTTCCCCTGGCTGAGTATGGTCTGTTACATGACGCTGCAAAGCGTACGTAGCGCAACATGGGCTATAGGTTGTCCCAAAGGGTAGGACTTGCCACTCGAAGGTCTTTGGGGGCTCATCTACCTTCAGATCTTGCCACAAGAATCTCAGTAAGGGACGATCTTCAGGTATGAGACGGACCTGATGAAAAATTCCCTTAATGTCTCCACTGACAGCTATTGGACGCTCTCAGAATCTCAATAAGACTCCCAACAAAGAAGCTCCGAGTCTTGGGCCAGGTAGTAGGAACTGGTTACGAGACTGTCCTAGGTATTTGTGTGAGCAGTTGAAAACGATACGATTCTTCCCATTGTGGGTGACGAGATGGTGGGGGATGTACTAGCTCTCCTTTGATAGTTTCTGATAGGTAATTTTTCATTTATCCCATATAACCTTAAAGGACGACACACACACATAGAGAGAGAGTAGATTAATCATTCGTAATGTCCATGAGCACGAATCAACATGTGAGAAGCTGGCCGCAGAAATCCCAGCCCCCAGTCTGCTCCAGCCTCAGCCTTCAGCCCCCACTCTGCCTACCCGCATCTCCACCAAAATGTTGGGTAATATTTATTCTCCATAACCCTGGAACCTGAAATAAACACTCATGAGAACAAGGAAGACATTTTACCCTGAGTCCCCAAAATATGGAGAGTTAACGCAGAGGACCCTCCTCCGAGGCTTCCCCACATCACTCCCATGTGTTCTCAGATCGTCAGGGGCTTTATTCAGCAAAGGATGGAGAAGGCGGGGCCTTCTCAGGTTACAGAGGTACAAAGGTTTCTTTGGAAATCCACAATCAACATCCTGGAAATCCACAATCAACATCCTTGACTGCAAATGAGCTTCTCTGCTCAACTTTTCATGAACCAGTTGGCAAACACAGAAATTCAAGAAGTGTTAATAACACAAATTGGGCAGCTTTTAGGCCTCAAAAAGGTACAATTATAAAAATACCCAACAGTTTGTCTTCAGAAACCTCCTAGCACCAGCGTCAATTAGTTTCTGCATTTCAGTCCTATAGGCCTCTGCTCAACTGTTCTCTTTCAGGAGCCGTCTCTCGGTACTTCGAAGCAAAGGCATGATGGATTCCTTTGGTGCCTGCATGAGTGGCATGTGGTCATGAAGGAGGAGGGGTGTAACGTACCTGAGAACTCCATCCACCATGGTACAAACTGTCTTAGTCTTGAGCAGTGCTACAGCCTGATGGTCTTGCTTTGATCGTGTTACAGATTTCTCAGATCTGTATTGTACAATGTCCACTTGCCAAAGTCTCTCCATGTGTGTAAATAATTATTCAGCTCTGGAAGAGGTGTACAGACAAAGGGCGGAATTAGAGAGCTGCCCCATGGAAGTACTAGGTCCTTGGGAGTGTCCACCCAGGTTTGGTGTGAACTGCTGCTGGACTGCCAGGTGGGCCAAGCCTGACTGGTTCAGTAGGGGTTATCAGATGAGGCTGGTCTGAACCAATGAGGAGCAGTGGCTTAGCATCCTTTAGAGCAGGTACTGGAATCCCATGCAGGTGTCCAAACTTCCTTTGAAGTTGTTCAACAGGGTATGTGTGGTGAGCTAAGTTCAGTCGATTAGAGGTAAACGCCCCATCAATCTGGAAGCTGCAACTAGGTTCAGTAGCTGAAGAGAGTCTGAAGGACACAGTATGACCTTGCAATAACTGAATATCCTGACGTACTGTACGTAGAGGAAGGTTCTCTAGTGTGCCTCTCAGACCAAGAGCTTTGGCTGCACCAGGAAGTAGCATTGTCCTCTCTGATCCGTCATCAAGTATTGCAAATGTATTTAGGGATCGTGTTCCAGAGCTAAGGGATACAGGTACCACCTTCAGCATGACACAGTTCCCAACGCCTGGTCTGTCAATGTAGAAGAAATCCGTCGCTGAACTGGTTAGGCAGCTCTCCTCACTCACAGCTACATCTTGACTGGCTTTCTGGGTTCTTGTGTTAACCTCGTGGAGTGCCAGTAGGTGTTTTCCTTGACAGAGGCTAAAAGGTTTCTTTAGCGTGCATTGTGCAGCTAAGTGAGTCGTGCACATTGCAAACATCTTTTGTTTTCCTGAATCCAGTCCTTTAATTGTTCCTTAGAGAGCTCTGCAACATCACTGCATTGACTGAAATAGTGCTCAGTGCTCTCACAATGAGCGCAGAAAGCTTTGCCTTTGCTTGCTCCCTTTGTTGCACTTTCCTTAGATGTCAGCGAACCAATTCTTGAAGATCCTTTAATGTTATGGAGGGCTGTAACCGTCTGTTTACCAGTTCGTCATTCATATTTTGAGCTGTTTCTTTCTCTACCACCCTTTTCTGTGGTCTGGCTGTCAAAGCCCTGACACTATGATTCATAATGGAGCCAGTCAGAGAGGTCATGTAGGGTGTAGGATTTCCCAGGCTGTTTGAACTAGTGCCGTCGAAAGTCAGCCCATTGCTCTGGAGGTAGCTTGCCTAAGAGTCGAGCTACATGTGACCCACAGTTAAGTTCTACTTGTCCTTCCAGGCCTAAGGTTTGCAACAGGCCTACTAGGGACTGCACCTGGAGGGAGAACTTCTGGAAGGCTATTGGATCACCTCACCTTATTTCAGGACCATCAAGAACACTTGCTATCTTTTTTAGAGCAAGCTGATGTGGTTGTCCAAATTTATCATGAAGAGCAGTCATGGTAAGGCAAGGGTTGGGTGAGTTAAAATAAGCGTCAGCAATAAGCTTAGCTTCATCTAGTTTCAAATGGTCCACAAGAATTTGAAATTCGAACAGCTCTGTAGCGTTAGAGGTCAGCAAGTTTTCGAGTGCAATACGAAGTCTTGCAAACTCGCAGGGGTCTGAATGAATAAACTTTGGTATGGTAGGTTTAGGTCCTCTATACACTACCTCAACTGTAGGGGAAATATCATCTCTGCAGGGGGGTTGCTGTGTTTGACCGGCACCTGTAGCTGTAAATGAATGTTTGGTAGCTGAGGGCTTTCCAGAAAAGAAGTCTACATTGGTTGGAGCCGGGTGGTAAAAGGATGGCGGGTAAGGTGCAAATGTAGGATGCATTACCTCGCTCTCCTTAGCAGTAGCCTCAAACTGGGCTGTATTCTGGGTAAGCTGGGCAGGCTTGTAGTGTGAAAGGGATGCACCTTTGAAAAGGGAAGATCGCTAGATTGGTTGAAAATCTTGATCCATGGCTTTGAGGTCATATAAGCTACTGTTTTGGTCCTCGGGTTCTTGCCATGGTGGAGGATCGGACCACTCTTCCTCTTATTCTTTCAGATCGGTGGTAGGAAAATGGCTCCTAGGTCTGTCCATGCTACCTTGTGATGGGGTATGATGGGGAATGTTGCGATGCAGCTGATTCATGTCCATTTGCAGGGCGTGTGTGGCTTCGATTAGGGCTTTAATTTCAGTTCTCGCTTCATTCAGCTCCTTCAAACCATCTTTCAACTCCCTCTGTGCTTGAAGCAGCTGTCTTCTCTCTTCATGGGTTGCTCTAAGTTCTGCATGCAGAGACAAGGCTGATGGGGATTCCTGAAAATAGGGAGTTATAGGTTCAAGGCAGGGATCTCTACTTATGTTACACCACAGATGGCTTGGTCTCGAAAGGAAGGGAGTACCGTGGGGGATCTCTCTTATAGAGGGAGGAGTGAATGAAGCAGGTTGGCTTTGGCTGTGCTGAAGTTCAGGATCTATTCTTCTGCTTAGAGATGGCAGGAGATTCCACTGAGGTCTGTTTCCGGGAGGAGCTCCAGTGTAACTTACTTCAAACTGCCCCTCAAATCTGCTGGGTCGGCTGATCTGCCGTTTAGGTCTCACAGTAGGATGCATCTCTTTATCTGGATCTATATTGATAGCCCTTATCCGGCTCGAAGGACCATTGTAAAGGAGGGTTTGGTTAAAGCTAGCTCTTTCCAGGTGAGGCGGCTATCAATATGGTGTATCGGTTAGAATACAGGAAGAGGCTAAGATACGTCCTTTGATGTAGATCCAAGTCTTTAATCTTGGTTGATGATCATCGTTAACCGCATTGACAACAGTCTGAAACAGTAAACATGAATAAATTATCATGATAAGAAACAATTACGGTGACAGCCAATTCTCTTACAGAATATAAAATTATCCAATATATCAGCACTCTATGCACTGAACTAACCATCTGTCACATATGTCTTAAAATAAACTACTAATGAACCTTCTCATTCAATACGGGAAGGGGGAATAAGGCAAAGCACATTTATCTTAATTAACCAACTTACAGTCTGGCAAAGAAATTCAAACAATAGCGCCCTCTTGTTGCTAACTAAGATCTCCATAACTCACTCACGTGACACTGTCAGCCTTGACTCACTGTAGCAAGTATAAGGTAAAAACTAGAAATGAAATATAACAAAATAACTCCTCATGTCATTAACATCAAGGCTAACCAATTTTAAATATGTTTATAAAAGGAAAGAAACATGTTGGACATAAACACTTCAGTAATTCAGTACTCAACTAATATTCCATAATTAAACAAAGGAACTTAATAACGCAGTCTTATCCGTAGACAAGAGGTAAAGTGACTCACTTTCTTGCATTAACATAATGCTGACAACATCAACATGACTTGCAGGTGAATGAAGGAACACTGGTCTCACAACCACCAAAAAGGAAAGAAAGGGAAAATTCTAGTGTTGGAAGTGACCTCACTGTGAAAGACTCTTCAAAATAAAAGCATGCCACTTCCTGAATTCCCACCAAAATAAAACCAACAAATTTAACAAACAAAGGTAATATATGAAATTCTGAACCTTTTATACAGTAACTAAAGACCCGACTTGGTATTTTTTCCTGTCAGCAAATTAAAAGTTTAATCACTTTAGCTGTTTTGCTGAATTTTTTGAGTACTAAGAAGGTTTTCTGTTCACATTAAACCAAGTGACCTTTTCAGTAATTTCTAAATTGATTATTATTATTACAGTGCCTAGTGATGCCAGTGAACAGCCACAGAAGACAGTCCTTTCATGTAAATTTAAAAATGCAAGTGCAATTTTTTCAACTGAAATAAATTACACCATATATAAAGTAAACCATTCACCACAGGTTTAAAATGAATTATTCTCTCATTAAAGAGCAACTCACCCCCAAATCAACTTTTTTTCCTGATAAACTATATAAATTCGTGTCTAATCATGCAGCAGACACGTGTAGTAAATAGTTTTGCACTTTAGTGAATTTTAGTTAAAATTTTAATTTTCTGCCTAAAACAGTCAGTGTTGTGCCATTGTCAGGTAAAACATCTGCACTGCATTCAAATTTAAATCTGCCATTGCTATTGGCTAAGAGGTACCCTAGAACGTTAGTTGGTACCATATGATGTCACAATGTCATTGTGAGCCTGTGTGTGTGTGTGTGTGTGTGTGTGTGTGTGTGTGTGTGTGCATTTGTTAGTGGCTCCGCCCTCTCGGTCTGCCAGGCAACAGCATTTGTTGCATTTTTCAAACAGAAAGTGGGATTGGAGTAAGATTTTGGAAGGGAGTGACTTGCTCTTTAACATATGAATAAACAGTGTTGCACAGATTACAGATATACTCAACACCACATTCATTTAAAATCATTCACAACCTCAAAAATGATAAAATTATAAAACTAGATAGATGTTAAAGGAGCTTCTACAAACAAAACCACCTGCAGGTCTAAAGCAGTATAGTAAAATTGATCCAAAACCTGTTTTAAACAATCCACTTCCTGGTTTCACTTCTTTAACTGTGGCTCAACCAATGAGCACCCACCTAATCCACGCAAAGCCTTCTGGGAAATGATGTTTGACAACAAATGGAAATTTCCAACAAATCTGCCCAGAGTAGAGAGTGGAAATTTACTCTGCATCCCTCCTCCCCTCTGTCACAGGCATATCCGTGCCTTGCAGGATGTTTTGCTTGAAGCCATCCGATTTTACCACATTTTTATCTGACATTTGAGGTCACAGAGATTGATTGGACAGCTGTATCGTAATGTCCTTAGTATATATTTTAAATAAAGAATAAAAATGAACGTGAATCACAGTTATATTTGTTATCAAACTAAATGTATTAATTTGAAAACATTTGAGGAAGAATTAAATCAGCAAAATGATCCCTTTGTAAAATAAAACACATGATTTATGACAACTTTCAATAATGGACTATTACTATTATAAACATAGAGCTTCAGAAAAACACACACAAAGTCAAAAATAGTAAGATAAACTCACCTAGTAACTATAAAGGCACTAATATACATTTTCTGGATTTTTTCCAAGAAACAACACTTGATGGACAACTCTCCTGCTGTAAGCTAGAGGTTCCTACCCAGTTTTAGCAGCCACCAAAACAAGAATTATAATGAACTAAAGGGGGAAAAACGGAATAGATAATTAATACAAAAGTAATAGAAAGGTTTAAACAAAAGTCACATATTGTTAACACCTATTGTTATCATTAATAAATATTATATTATTATTACTGCCTTATACCATATTATAACCCTTATTACCCCCAATTAGCAGCAGGATTTTGAGGTGCGCTAGTTTTGGAGACCCTGACTGCCCGGTTCGAATAACAGCTAATTAAACAACGCACTTCTTTTAAACTTACATAAGCATGCAGGTTAACACTACAGAGTCCGTGTATCACCTGTTAGTAGCTAGGGCAACTTCTGGGCGTTTGTTGTGTGTCGAGACGTCACGGGTTCGCCGCACGAGTGGGCGGGGATCTAAACGGGTGCCTATAAGGAGAAGGAGGAGGTGGACAAGCATCGTGGTCTGATTATCATCACAGAGAAGGAGAAATACGGACGAGAAAGCAGTCTGTCTGGTTCAGAGTATCTACATCATTACCAGGAAAAACCTGCGGAAAAACAAACAATCGAGGAGCGCCCGGCTCTTCCGGTTCGCAGTCGTCTTCCTCATACACGTTTAAGGGGCGTGGAGCGGCAGCTTTCAGCGCGACCGTTGAGGGTTCTTCAATGAATGCAGCCGGTAAGTGTCCTTAACCCTTTTATGAAGTTTTCGTCATTATAATGTACAATTAAACATCAAGGGTCTATTTTGGTGTATTTTATACAAAAAGCTTATTTCTTTCTTTGGCTCTCCACGTTTGAACGTCTCGTCGGACAGCTGACGTAAGTGTATCAAAAAACGTCAGCTTCTTTAGCAAAAACATCATTTAACATCGTATTTCCGTCTAGCGTGTAATGCCCAGTTTACATAAATTAACAATGAACAGATGAGTGACACGAGCTTCGTAATGATACGTCTCCTTCCGTAGGATGAATAGTGACTCTTCTAGAAATTTCCTGCCACCTGATAGGTGGATTGGTTCCTCGTGGACTGGAGTCGTCCCCCATTCCGTCTTTTGTTTCCTCGGTGACAGTCTCCGGTTGTCATCCGCATCTGGTCAATTATAATTAAAACGCGGCATTGTTCTAGACTCTGACTCTCCGTTTTCCCATGGGTTCGTGAAGGCGACACCAAGCCTTCACCTGCAGGACTTTTTAAGCTCTTCCCATTTTCATTATGGGAAATCAAAATGAAGCATTTGGTCCTTCTCGATTTGTTTAAACTTGCCTTAAACTCATTAATGACACTTGAAGTGATCCGCTCTGCGCGTGTTCTGAGTTTATTTGCTTTGTACAACTGATACCACACGGTTTCAAGTCATTCAGACATTCAGATGTATTTTTTGGGCGCAAATTTAGGCATTTTGAACAAGTGATCTAAAACAGCAGGTGCACGTTTTTGCATGGTCTGGTAGCGCTGGGACAGGAACTAATTGAAATTGGGATTTACCCCTCTTGTTTGCATCTAAACCTGTTGAATGACTGATCCTAGTGTGCTTCTGGTACTGATAATACCATATTCTTATCAGTGTTATGAAAATACGTTTTACATGTAAATACATCTGTGCTAAAATAGTTCATACTAAAAAGGCTCGAGTTTGCACCTGAATTCACTCTGAAGAAAAATACTAATGTTGCAATAATGAAACATTCTGTTGTTTGTATCGTTTTTCCATGCAAGGATGCAAATGTTGGCTTATTTTCATTAAACATAGACCATCAAAGCCACTGCTTATTTTTTCAGCATCTTCAAAGGATGGCCATCATCCACATAGATTTCAGTCAGTCATATATTAAGCCTTTGTTTTTGACTGGTTTTTCCTGTTGAACTTCATCTAGACTGCAACTACTAGAAGTGCAATCAATGTGCAGTCTACTTTTCTAGCAAACTCCCAGTTATCGCCCAATTACGACAATTCAATAGAATTGTAGTTATATGTGCTCAGGTAATTAAAAAATGCAGATTTTCACAGGAAAAACAACAATTTAAAACAGTTTTACATGATAAAAGCAGCGTTGGTGAGTGTTTTGGATTGAGTGAGAGCCATAAATGAGGTCCTGGCATGTGCAGAAGATGGTGATTAGGTTTTAATCCTGTATTATGTGATTTAGCACATTGAAAATATAAAATGCATCTACTGAATAACTGCACCATGTCCGAGAGAGTGTCTTGGACATTTTAATGGCAAACACACAGAGGCTAGGCCTCAATGATGACAGGGTAAAATAAAAACAAAGACTTCTTTTATACAAAATACTCAAGAAATGTTTAGCCATAGAGAATGGTTGTGAAGAAGGAGGCGTGGGGGTATTCTCTGCCATGCATGGTGGAGTGAGACTTCAGAAGAGGCCAGATATCCAAGCTTGAGTTTTTGTGTGAGATGGAGAAAAGCGGAGATGAGTTATTTCATTTTAATGTGTATTTATTTGATTACATATGATGTGATCCATCCATTTGGATTATTATGCGCATATAAAGAGATTACGGTTTAGAGTAAGTTCAGCAACTTGACCTTTAGTGAATGGGTTTTTTCTTCTCATTCTGGAGGTATGATCGTTACAAAGCCCCAGTTTATACTGCATGATTTAATAAATGTTGAGACCCCATATGCGGAGATGAAACATCCTAGATAAAACAGTTTTGGTCTGCAGTGTGTGGTGTGTGGCAACATGACAAAACTAAACATGAACGATTTCACACATGAACACTCCCAAGTCAGATGGGAAATCTTGCATGATCGCACGTGACTTTGTTGTAAACAAACATGGCGGAGGAGGAGCGTGCTGCATCCCCTGCTTTCTCGTTAGTTATGCATGACATTCAACAGGCAGCTGTCATGGTCTGCGTCCTGCGTCTCCCTCATGTGTCTCCTTGTGTTCTCCATCCCTCTCTAGATTTACCTTATGTGTCTCCTTGTCTGCATCCCTCCTCATGTGCCTCCTTGTGTTCCCCAGGCCACTCCAGGTTTTTTCCCCTTGGGTGTTCCCCCCAGGTTTCAGCGTCCCTGTGTGTCCCCAACCCCCTCCAGGTTCTCTAGGTTTCCCTCACGTTTTTCCTTAGACACCTTTTATCATTAGTCTTCTGTTAAGTGTTTTATCTAGTCTGTTTTCTCCCTCTAGTTCATTTTGCTCCCTTCCCCATTTTTAGGTCTGGTTTCCTCCCCTGCTCCGTTGTGCTCCTCCTCTGTTTATTGGTTTCACTGTGCACAATTCCCTAATCACCCAGCCCTTGTGTATATAACCCTGTCTGCATCTCAAGCCTAGTCCACACGTAGCCGTTTAAAAAAAAAACGAATATCCGCCCCTCCAAAAACTTGCATCCACACCACCTCGTTTAAAAAAAAAAAACTCTGTCCACACGTATCCGAATAAATACGTTGTTAAGGACATGCCAGACCTGTAGGCGGCAGTACTTCCCCCGTTCTTAGCCTCGTCCTTCGTCTGTGGTCTTCCGCAAGGAGCAGTAATTCCGCTTGCAAAAACAAACAAACAAAAAGCGCTTGGACAATTGATAAAGCGAGCGCAGCTCTGAGGGCATCCATGCTGTCGGCTAGTGTAAACACAGGTCGCACACGTGATGTCAGCATTTTTTTTGTCGCGGAAAGTGACGTTGTGGAGCTTAAAACTCCGGTTTTGTCTGTCCACACACAGACACCCAAAACGGAGAAAACGCAGATCTTCACTTTGGCCGGAGTTTTTAAAAAGATCCATTTTTGTGTGAAAAAACTCCGTTTTCGTGTGGATGACAGGCCAAAACGTAGAAAAATATCTACGTTTTGGCAGATCCCCGGCTACGTGCGGACAGGGCCTCAGCGTGGTTGTTGGTCCATTGATGTTTGTCAGTGTTGTTTTGTACCCCCCACTAGGTCTCTGCTCATAAGTGAGCTTTTGGTTTTGTCTTTCGTTTTAGATATTAGGTTTGGCTTCCTGCCATTTTGGATTTTGGTTCCCATTAGGGCTGCACAATATATTGAAAAATTATCGTCATCGCGATAACAGGACGTGCGATAGGCCCATCGCAAAACACGGCAAAAACAGCGATAAATGTTTCGTTCAAACATTTCCATCCGTATCATACATCAGCTTTTTGTAAACCAGCTCTGTTTTTTACGTGGAAGTATTATTTGACCAATCAAATGTAGTCCCTCTGATATGCGGCCAATCAGATGGTTCCGTTCACGTAATACGTCCGCCCCCTACATAGACCCTTTTGGAAAGCAACACCCGAACAGAGTTTGTGGCGCTGTTCCCTTGTTCGCCATGCTGGCTCAGAGCAACGAACGCACTTTGTGCTGAGGTTTCTGGATTCAGCGCTGCTTTCAAACGTGAACGTGTGTCCGCTCTGTGTCGTTAATCATTTTTACCGGGCTGATTCCGACACGTGCCGGTGACCTTCATGTTGCTAGTGTTAGCCCCAGGCCCCGGTTAGCTTCCAGCTAAAAGGCTACAGCACTCTCCTCCCAGTCCCACCCTGCTAAAGAGGGCCTGGAAAAGTTCCCCCACACATCAAAGTGATTTTTCATTTATGAGCTTTTATAACCTTGTTAATCAGGATTGTTGATTTGCTGCTGCACATAAACTGTCAGTCAGAAGCTCTGCTGGCCGGTTATCTTAGAGGAGCTAGTTCAATTTTAGCTTGTTATCAGAATCATAGTTGCAGTTTCATCATCTGAGCTGCTTTTTAAGATCTAGGTAAACTCGTTCAATTTGGGGTTAAAACCAAACGTTTTCACATATTTTCCATGTAGTTTTTTTTGCCAGTTCCTCTTCTGAAAGGTAGACAATTGTTTTTCTCTTTCCCTCAGAAAATCTTATTATTCTCCTAGTTTGGCCCAGCACAGTTCACTTCCCAATACCAGCAACAGCTTTATATCATAACCACATAAGTGGAGAAAATGTTCAGTAGCAATGAGAGAATTTGCTGTTGCATTTAAGTGATGTTAACTATTATTTAACATTTAAACTTATTTTCTGAATTTTTTTTATTTATTCTAAAAACCCTGGTAAGGGATGTTTTTCTGTATTTGGAGCATCAGAAAAAGTTTTATGGTGGAGGTGATGTTTTAAAGTCACTGAGAAACTGCATGCATGCAGTTTGTTGTTTTGCTGCTAATACAGTAGCAGGTGCAGCTGCATATTTTTGCTATAAAAATGTTATGTTGTAATGGAATTCATGCATTAGTTTTTGTTTGCTTTGAACCCAGAGCAGACGTCACACGCCAGACATCAACACTGCAAACTTTAGTATTTGTTCATTTATCGCAAGTAATATCGATATCGCAGGTTTTCCTAATATTGTGCAGCCCTAGTTCCCATCCTAATAACAGGATTTTACTTTTACAAATTGCTCCTGCCTCGTGTTGTCTGGTTGTTCTGCATCTTGGGTCTTAACCTCCCCCTACTCTCAACGTGACAGCAGCACTCTAGTTTGTCCTTGAAAATCTGACGTATCAACGTGTTTGAAAGCCCTGACGTGCTTTTAAGCTGACCAGGTAGAAGTATCTGATAAGATTATCTTTAGAGCCATAACGTAATTGTGTGCGTTCTTAAGATTGTTGGAAGGGGAAGATTGTGTCAAGAACTGGCACGATTATCCTGCCATGTGATCGGGGCCTAGCATAGAAATCCTACACACACATACACAAACACACGCACACAATTAGTTGGACAGGTCTGAACCTTCTAACCTTACACTATGTACTGTGTGGTCATTGTGCAGTCTGAGCAGTTGGTTTTGTTCACCTTAATGTGGTATTTCTAGCTTTTACAGGAGACCAGACATCTTCCTTGTGAAGCAGTGTGGTAGCTGTGTAGCTGTTGGCAGCACAGTTTTGTGCTTTCTTGGCTTGTCTTACATAACGCTTCTCTGAAGATTTAACACCGGCATGGCCTGAGTTCAGTTGTTTTCAAACAGATTAAGAGAACATTTGTAAGAAGGCTAAGTCCATGTCTGAGCGGTGGTAGAAAAACACTGTAGCCATAAAATCAGCCGTGTTAAAGCTACAAGTATTTCTTGTTTCCATATGTTGCATAGTACACATGTTAATGAATTAGAACAATGTACTTTAAATGTTTAAAAAATGCTTCTGACAGTCATGTCCAATATTTTTCCATCTTCAGCTGAAGGTGCTAATGAATTGTTTCTCTTTGCTTTTCTTGCAGGAACTTTGACGTTTCCACTCCCAACAGCCCGTGACATCCTCTTACCCAAAATGATCTCTGTGTTGATGCCTCACTGAGTTCTTTTGGTTTGACTTTGGATCCCTCTCCTGTTTCTGTTTTGACAGTGACTTAAATCTAAAACTTTCCATTGCACCCATCCATAACCTTGAGCACTGTCACATATTTCTCTTTTTCTGTGAGCTTCAAACCAAATCTGTCAAAATGCATACTGGATTGGAAGTAGTGGACATTGCAGTGGTAGCCATGTATTTTGTCCTGGTGCTAGCCATTGGGCTTTTTGCCATGTGGAAAGCCAATCGCAGCACCGTAAGCGGGTACTTCCTGGCTGGACGCTCCATGACGTGGATAGTGATAGGTGCATCACTGTTCGTCAGCAACATTGGCAGCGAACATTTCATCGGCCTAGCCGGGTCGGGAGCAGCGAGCGGCTATGCAGTAGGAGCTTGGGAATTCAATGCTCTTCTACTGCTGCAGCTGCTTGGATGGGTGTTCGTCCCTGTATACATCCACTCAGGAGTCTACACCATGCCAGCCTACCTGTCAAAACGCTTTGGTGGAAACAGACTGAAGGTTTACTTTGCTTGCCTGTCTGTGCTGCTTTACATTTTTACCAAACTCTCTGTGGACCTCTATGCTGGTGCTCTCTTCATTCAGGAGTCCTTGGGGTGGAATCTGTATCTTTCAATTGTTCTACTCATCAGTATGACTGCTCTGCTCACTGTCACTGGTGGGTTGGTGGCAGTGCTCTACACAGATACCCTTCAGGCAGTGTTGATGATTGGTGGAGCCCTAACCCTAACCATCATGAGCCTAGTCAAAGTGGGTGGGCTAGAGGGTGTCAGAACCAAGTACATGCAAGCCATTCCTAATGTCACTGCCATCATGGCTTCTGGAAACTTCACTTATTCACCTTCTTGTCGCATAGAGCCTAAACCAAACTCGCTACGTATTCTTCGCGGCCCCCTGGACGAAGACATCCCATGGCCAGGTTTCATTCTAGGCCAGACCCCTGCATCCATTTGGTACTGGTGTGCAGACCAAGTCATTGTTCAGAGAGTATTGGCCGCAAAGAACATTGCTCACGCGAAGTGCTCAACACTCATGGCTGGGTTTCTGAAGATCCTGCCCATGTTTGTGATAGTGATTCCAGGAATGATCTCCCGCATCATGTTTGCAGATGAGATTGCCTGCATCGGACCAGAGCACTGCATGTCTGTGTGCGGTTCTACGGCTGGCTGTTCAAATATCGCCTACCCACGCCTGGTCATGGCAGTAATGCCCGTGGGACTCAGAGGTCTGATGATGGCAGTTATGATTGCTGCTCTGATGAGTGACCTCGACTCCATCTTCAACAGTGCAAGCACCATCTTCACCCTGGACATCTACCAAACCGTTCGGAAGAGGGCTTCTCAACGAGAGTTGTTGATTGTGGGACGCACGTTTGTTGTGTTTATGGTGGCAATCAGCATCGCCTGGGTTCCTGTTATCATTGAGATGCAAGGAGGACAGACATACCTCTACATCCAGGAAGTTGCTGGCTATCTAACTCCACCAATCGCTGCCCTTTTCCTGCTTGGTTTGTTCTGGAAGCGGTGCAATGAAACAGGTGCCTTTTGGGGAGGAATGACCGGTTTCACACTCGGGACTCTACGACTGATCCTAGCGTTCATCTACCGTCAGCCTCCCTGTGACCAGCCAGACGACAGGCCCTCCTTCATCATTCACGTTCACTACATGTATTTTGCTGCTGGGCTGTTCTGGACTTCAGGGCTGGTGGCAGTAGTGGTCAGTCTCTGTACCTCTCCGCCAAGTGATGAGCAGATTCGTACCACTACAATCGTGGGTCTCCGCAAGCTCAAAAAGATTCCTCCAACGGATCGAGATGAAATGTATCGACTGGCTGAGAAGAGCCAGTGCAATGGTGCAGGCAGCCTCTATAAAGAGATGCCTCTCAATGTCAAAAAGGAGAGGTGCTTAGATGGTGCCGAAGCCAAACTTCTGGTCCCAAACACAGATCACGACCCTGCAACCCCCAGCACAGAAACCACCCCTGCCAGCACCCCTGCTGAACAACACAGTCTTAGAACAATGGAGATGAATAAAGCAGAGAAAGGCTGCCACAGGAAAGAGGACAAAACCCCTTGCATTCGTTTACTTGACTGTTTTTGTGGGTATAAAGAAGAACCAAGTGCTCCACAGACAGTGACACAAGAAGATGAGAGAGTCATTGCAAAGATGCTGTACGAGCCACCCAGAGTTAAAATTCTCCTCAACATTGCCCTGGTGTTGGTCTGCTCTGTGGGCATTTTCATGTTCATTTATTTCTCATTGTAGCCGAAGATTGCACTGAACTACCTGGAACTTTAGTGAGACATTGTTTTGTTTGATGGTGACATTTTGGAGGTTTAGAGCTGTTACAGAAAGAAAGGAAAGTTTCAAAGAACATATCTGTGATATTTACAGTAGTTTTTGTAGCTCTCCAACAGGAATCTAAGCTAATTGTTAGCATTTTAAAATGAATGAAGCTTCTCTAACATAAAAAAGTACTTCTAAATGACTTTGTTGTTATTTAAAATTTTTACTTGGGTTTTTCGAATTGTTGCTGTCTGTATATTTGCTTTATTTTCCTCAGGTGTTTTAATATTTGCTTGAGAAAATGGGTTATAATATTTTCCAGAGCTCCATTTTTCTAAAGGGGTCCAAAAGAAACACCAGTTGCTTCACTAGTTGTGTGTACTGTTATGTTTGCAGTGACTATTGAAATGATTTGTTTAGAATTGGTCTGTTTAATGTGCTTGCATTTAGAACCACTTAATAAAGTTACTAGTATTAAAAGCTGTGCACCGGTTCTGCAGCTCAGCTAAGTGGCAACAAAAGCACAGAACATTTTTTAATACTTTTAAAATTATTTCTACGGGAAAATATAAATGTTACATTTGGATTAAGTGTTTAGCAAGTGTTACTCATGACCAATGGATTAAATACTGTGTTTTCACTTCTGAATTTCTTTTGTATATATTTTCTGGCTGTTTTTTGTGTTATTTTCAGTTCAAGTTTATTTATATATCACCAAATCACGACAAGAGTAGTCTCAAGGCACTTCACATAGTAAACATTCCAATACAGGTCAGTTAATTAAGCCAATCAGTAAAAAGTTTCCTAAATAAGGAGCCCAGCTAATTTCACCAAGTTACTGACACCAGTCATCAATCCTCATACTAAGCAAGCATTTAGTGAGAGTGGAGAGGAAAACTCCCTTTTAACAGGAAAAAACCACCAGAGGATCCTGGCTCAGTATGAGCAGCCATCCATCACGACTCACAGGGGATCGAGAAGACAGAGCGCGCGCATGCACACACACACACACACACACACACACACACACACACACACACACACACACACACACACACACACACACACACACACACACACACACACACACACACACACACACACACACACACACACACACACACACACACACACACACACACACACACACACCAAGTAGTGTTTCTATGGTTACATTGAGATTTCTTAGTAAATATTCTATTTGGTGAGAGATAAACCTTATTGTATTTATCCTAGTGAATCTATAATGAAACGGGTAAACTAGTAGTAGCACATACCCAACCATTTCATAACCAACTTGCAGCCGTTTATGCACTTGCATTTTTAAACAAAAAATCTTTTTATTTGATTTCGTTTCACATGATGAAAAGGTACTTGGAGTCTTTTGCCTTACGTTAGCATCATGTGCAAATATTTCAGTGCTCATTGCATCAACTATAATTTAGATTTCTGTTATATTAGGTCATTTAGTGTGTGTCTCCTATGTGACGGTGATTTACTAGTGAAGCATCTGTTCGTTTTTCAAGTGCATTCTGATAAAACTACCAAATGTGTCTTACTGTGCATTGCTTTAATGATAAAAGAGGAAAAAGTCAAAAGGACATAGAATTTGTTCTTATGAGCTCTGAGTAAATACCACATTTGTTTGAAGATGACATGTCACAGGTTTCCCATGCGTGATGTTTTTAAAAGCATAAATGGAGACTGATGATGTGGAAGAGAAATGATGCGTGTCAGGATTAGCACTTAGCTGGAGGAGCTCACTCATGTGGTCAGTGATAAATTTAGCATTTAAAGCAACTGACCTGGATTGTGGTCGTTATTTCCATCAAGTCCACACATTAACAACATACTCATCAGAATGCAAGAAATAAATACTGTTTTTTTTTTTTCATTTTTGGATTTTGAGTCCTGTGTTGACTCAAAATGTTGGTGTGTGAATATTTACTCATCAGCTGGGTTCATTAAGAAGTGATTGGTGTACATGTGAAAGAGATTTCAAAGTTTTTTTTCTTTCTTTTTTGGAGAGAGTATGTATATATATATATATATAAATATATATTGTTATTTTTATGGAATTTATTTTTAGACTGCAAATAAAGTTTTTGTTGAGACCAAAAATAGTGTTTTTCGCTCTTTATTTTCAGAAATAAAATATAGAAAAAATTAAATAGATGAAAAAGGCAGTTAGAAGATTATCGAGAAAAGTACGATTAATTTGATCGACTTTTGAGATTTAGGAGATTTTTTTTATTTAGTTTTGCAATCTTTATCTTTAAAATGGCATTAAGCTCTGATTAGTTGTTTACTTTGTGATTTCTCTCTTTTGCACTAATAAGCCTTCATTCAAGACCCTCTAAATCACTTAAACAAAATAAAACATTTAACTGTAACTAAGTAATCTCTCCTCATCCCAATCCTCCATGTTTTTTCTTCATATTGGACTCTATGGTATTGACCAGGATTATGTAAACCCCAGTAAAGCTTTATAATCTGCTCAGAGCCAGATGTAGATTGGGTGAGCTCAAGCTTCTTTAGCAGACACTCAACCAATCAAAAAGCCAACACTAGTAGCTTATGAGTCCCTCCTACATTTTAAATGTTCTTTTAACTTTCCGCAGTTGAGAGTGGATTAAGTTGCCTCATGGAAACAATCATGAAAACTATGCAATGCTTGCCTGTGAAGCAAAAACTGCAGGAGAAACTCAGCAATTGACACATGGGTATTCTATTAACTGGTAAATGTTGTGAGTCAGTTTTGAAGTTATTAGTGTAAAATGTTGAAACTTGGACATAATTTGCAAAAACCACACAACAAGAGCAAATATTCAAATATTTGAACATAAGTGATAAATGGCCTTGGTTTGCCTGTGAGGGAAGAGAAGTTACTCGCTCTGCAGCCGCAAGCAAACTGCACGTCAAACAAATGATGAATTGTAAGATAAATGGAAAACAATGTAACCGATTCAGTCTGACAGTGTCTTCTTCACTGTAACTATTGAGTTAATCAGTGACAAAACAACATTTTCTCATGTGAGCGAATCAAATCAAATTAAATATTAAATATCAGATCTTTCCTCATAACCTTCTTTAGTCGTTATGATTTTGATAGTTTTATTCTTTTTAAATTCTGGATGAACTCCAGTCAGCACGTTCAGAGATTTTGATATGAAATTAAAACTATTATAGATTTGATAAAGGAGCCAACTTGTTATTACATATGAATTAACTAACAATAAGTGTGATGATAATGGACTGCATCTTGGTGCAGTTGGTATCACTGTTGCCTGGCAACAAAATGGTCCCGAGTTTGAATCTTAGCCGAAACCTTTCTGTGTCTGTTATGGCTGGAGCCTTTTGTGTTGTGTTTTGATTTTTTTGTGCATTTTTTCCCTCATTGATACTGCATCTGAGGAGCATGCCTGCAGACTAGGCCTGTCTGCTCACCCTTGCTCCTCCCTGCACCAGCTGTGCCATGTTTTCATCAGCCACAGATTGTTAAAGGACCTGCTGGAGCTCCTCACAAATGGGGACAATAGTGCCGAGCTGCCTTTCCTCTGGTCTGTTTTCTCCCACCTAGGACTTTGATATTGAGCGGTGAAAAGATTTATGGGTAATCTATTACCTTTTTGAGATTTTGTGCTCTCTTTAGAGTAGTTAGTTCCTTTTTGTGTTACATTTTAGTGTTTGAGCTTGTTTAGGTTAAAATTTGATATCTCTGGGGAAAAAGACCCTTTTTGTTCAATTATGGTTTTTTTCTAGAATAAGCTACAAAAAAATAAAATAAAACAAAACCTCTGTTAACTTATCATTTGTGTCATGCGTCCTCCATGTTAACCCAGGCCCCTAGACACCTGGGATGTAACAGTGTAGAAGACCAAAAAGCTTTTTGGAGACTCTAAATTGTCTCTAAATGAATGGTTTATATTTCTGTGATGGACTGGAGACCTCTCCAGGGTGTCCCCCGTCTCTCACCCGTTCACAGCTGGAGATAGGCACAGATTCCTCGCTACCCCACTAGGATAATAATAATAATAATAATAATAATAATAATAATAATACATCAAACTCATATATTGATTTTTAGGCCACTCAAAGACACTTCACAAAAAATGCAATAAACACATAATAAAACAAAATGAAACATAGTAAACAGACTGGGGGATGCTGGGTTGATCCTATGAGAAGGCCAATATAAGAGGTGGGTTTTAAGCAGTGACTTGAGACGGCATTCCTGATGTTTAGTGGGAGAGAGTTCCAAAGTGTGGGGGCAGCGGCTGCAAAGGCTCGACCCCCCGTGGTGCATTGTTTTGTTTTGAAAGGGGAGAGGAGGTTGGAGTCAGCAGAACGGAGATGCCGGGAAGGAGAATGGTGATGGAGAACTTCCATCAGATATGATTGTGCAAAGTTATTGAAGCATTTGTAGGTGATGAGGAGCAATTTGTAATGGATCCGGTATGGAACAGGGAGCCAGTGAAGTTGTTTGAGTACTGGAGTTATGTGGTCCCTGGAGATGTGTGGGTGAGTAAACGTGCTGCAGAGTTTTGGATTTGTAGAAGTTTTTGTAGGGCTGAGGAAGGAAGTGCGTAAAGAGTGCTGTTGCAATAGTCCAGTCTAGAGGTTATGAAGGCAAAGATGAGTGTTTGGGCAGTGGAGTAAGTGAGTGGGATGGACAGAGACGGGCAATGTTGCAGAGGTGGAAGAATGATACCCTGTGGATGTTGTTGATGTGGGACTTGAAGGAAAAGGAGGAGTCAAAGATGATGCCGAGATTATGGACTGTAGAGGAGGGAGTCACTGTGAGACCAAATTTCTCAATTTGTAGAGAAATATTTTAAACTGAGGGTAGGAGAGATTTGGGACCAGTTATAATGAGTTCTGTTTTGGAGCAGTTCAACTTGAGGAAGTTGGTGTCCATCCAATGTTTTATGTCAGAGAGGCATCCTGAGATTGTGGAAAGAATGGCTGGGGTAGCGTATGAAAGTGGAGACCGTGTTGGCGTATGATATGACCAAGGCGGAGCATGTAAAGGATGAAGAGGGGTTGCCCCAGCACAGAGCCCTGGGGAACACCGTGGGTGACGGGGGCAGTGTGCGAGGTGCAGTTGTTGACAGATACATAGTGGTGGCGGTCGGAGACGTAAGAAGTGAACCAGTTGAGTGCTGAGCCTGTAATACCAATAGATGATTGAAGACGGTTAAGGAGGATGGCATGGTCGATAGTATCGAAAGCTGAGCTGAGGTCAAGGAGGAGGAGAATAGTGAGGGAACCAGAGTCAGAAGCAATCAAGAGGTTGTTGGTTACTTTCAGTAAGGCAGTTTCAGTACTTTGATAAAGGGATAAAGCGGCTCAGAGCATGTGTGAGTAATGAGATGAGAAAGTGTAATAAAAATAAAATTATTAACTATAACTACACCTCTAAAGTGCTGCTGCTATTTTAGCTGAAGGCTCACTTTATTATCAAATCAGTTGGATTGTCCTCACCATCCATCACTCAAGATCTGTCCTCCCACTGTCCCGCCCACCATCAGACTGGTGCCCGGCCTCTTTCCCAAGAGGAAACTAATAACATTGTCCTTGTGGAAAACTACTGGCTTCCAGGCTATGCTTTGTTCATTGTCTATTTTGGACAGAGCAAACACAAACAAAAGTCTGAGTCTTAAATGGCTGGATTAGATGGAAGGAGACAATGTGCGTTAAAGTCTCTCAGCAGATCTAAAGAATAACCAAACACCATAATAACCCAATCATGATGTATGTCCTGTTATTTATGTCAGTGTTATTTCGGGGGGGGGGGGGGGGGGGGGGGGGGTGAGAGAGGAGAAGACAGTCTTATTGGCTCCATAAATGAATCTATCATGTAGATAAAGAGGACCTAAATAAAGCAGTCAAATATAAAATTAAACTCACTGAAAGGCAGGTTTTACTCAGAAAATAACATAAATAAGGTTAAACACAGAGGATGTGAGATGCCAGGAGGACAAATCCCTTGTGTTTTTTATGTTTTATAAATACTGAGCCAATTTAATTACAAGTTAACCTTGAAAAATTAGGATATGGCGCAAAAGACTATTTATTTAAAGAGCAAGTCACCCCCAAATCCACTTTTTTTGCTTAGAAACTATACAAACGAGTGTCTAATAATGCTGTGGATGTGTAGTCAATAATTTGGCACTTTAGAGCATGTTAGTTAAAATCAAAAGGTTCTCCCTAGAACTGTCAGTGTTGAGCCCTCCTCAGTTTAAAATTTCTGCACTACATTTGAATTTAAATCTGCCATCACTATTGGCTAAGAGGTACCCTATGATGTTAACTGGTACCATATGATGTCACAATGCAATTGTGAGCCTGTGTGTGTGTATTTGTTAGCGGCTCTGCCCTCTCGGTCTGTCAGGCAACAGCATTTGTTTCATTTTTCAAACATGAAGTGGGAGGTGTTTCGGGCATGTCCTGCCGGCAGAAGGCCCCCGGGTCGACCCAGGACACGTTGGAGAAGTTACATCTCCAATCTGGTCCGGGAACGCCTTGGGGTCCTGCCGGAGGAGCTGGTGGACAAGGCCGGGGAGAGGACGGCCTGGAGCTCCCTAGTTGGGATGCTGCCCCCGCGACCCGGACCCGGATAAGCGGAGGAAGACGACGACGACGACGAAGTGGGAGGGGAGTAAAGCCTGATTAATGCTTAAGCAAAGGCCTTACTATTTCAACTCAAACGGACAGATAATTCACCCAGACAAGAGAGCTATTTAGGGGCATGGAGATCCACGCGTATGTGAGTGAATGGATAAATTTTCATTAAAGTACATATTAATCTGTTTAAATTAAAGTATTGCTCATTTTAAAGGAACATTAACCTCCTTTTTTGGGGGCAGGTGGTTCCATGAGTTCAAAAACTCATTAATTTTAAGTAGCTGTGTTTGTCATTTAAAACAAATTTCACATTCAAACTAGCTGAATAAAAAAAAAAGCCTCAATCAAACATTAAATTAGTTGTATTTGTCTTTTCTCCTATTTTTATTTTTTTTATTTTATTTTTTTCCAATCATAAGATGGTTTTAAATAAAGAATTGTGATTATATTAATTGTAAAAAAAAATTAGCTTTTAATGCAAAACATTTACAGTGGCTATGATGTAATCAGCCCCATCTGTCACTCCTCCCAACATCAGCTGAGCAGATTTTAGCTGCTATGGGTGTCTTTACAATAAACAACGTCAGATAATAATCCGTACATTTTAACCAACACAGCTCATCAAACATGTGGAGGTTTAAAAAAACGCCCTCATCACTCATTCCTGGAATGGGACCACGGCGGAAGCAGCCATGTTGGGAATGTGCTGTGACCTTTCAAATATACAACAATCACATAGTCAATGCATTCCTAGCGTTCCCCATGCAAAGCCCGACTAAACTATGGCGGCATGCCTGGGATTCTGGCATGAATTCACTGAGTCGGGCTTCAATGGCAAAAGGAAATATTTACCTGCTTTAATAAAAAACAGCAGGAAGAATGGTGTCTGGGGCCATTATCGTAACCATGACTCAGCAAAGTTTATCCTAGGTCAAACTGACCAATGGCAATGGAGTTTTTTATTTACTGTC